GGCCGGGCGCGGCTCGCTCATCGGCCCGCGGGGCACCTACCTGGGCGGGAAGCCCCACGAGTGCCCGCAGTGCGGCAAGGCCTTCAGCCGGAAGTCCCACCTGCTCACGCACGGGCGCACGCACACCGGGGAGAAGCACTACCGCTGCGAGCAGTGCGGGAAGAGCTTCAGCGACGGCTCCAACTTCAGCCGGCACCAGACGACGCACACCGGGGAGCGGCCCTACCGCTGCCGGGACTGCGGGCGCAGCTTCAGCCGCAGCGCCAACCTCGTCACGCACCGGCGCACGCACACCGGCGAGAAGCCCTTCCGCTGCGCCGAGTGCGGGAAGCGCTTCAGCCGCGGCCCCAACCTGGCGGCGCACCGTCGCACGCACACCGGCGAGAAGCCCTACGCCTGCCCCGAGTGCGGGAAGGGCTTCGGCAACCGCTCCAGCCTCCACACGCACCGGGGCATCCACACCGGCGAGAAGCCGTACGCGTGCAAGGAGTGCGGGGAGGCCTTCAGCTACAACTCCAACCTCATCCGGCACCAGCGCGTGCACACCGGCGAGCGGCCCTACCGCTGCGCCGACTGCGGCCAGCGCTTCAGCCAGAGCTCGGCGCTCGTCACGCACCGCAGGACGCACACCGGCGAGCGGCCCTACCAGTGCGGCGAGTGCGGCAAGAGCTTCAGCCGCAGCTCCAACCTGGCCACGCACCGGCGCACGCACCTGGCCGAGAAGCCCTACAAGTGCGGGGTGTGCGCCAAGAGCTTCAGCCAGAGCTCCAGCCTGATCGCGCACCAGGGCGTGCACACCGGCGAGAAGCCCTACGAGTGCCCGGCGTGCGGCGAGAGCTTCAGCTGGAGCTCCAACCTCACCAAGCACCAGCGCACGCACACCGGCGAGCGGCCCCACCGCTGCGCCCAGTGCGGGAAGGGCTTCGGCCAGCGCTCGCAGCTGCTGGCGCACCAGCGCACGCACACCGGCGAGCGGCCCCACCGGTGCGCCCAGTGCGGGAAGGGCTTCAGCCGCGGCTCCGTCCTGCTCATGCACCAGCGGGCGCACCTGGGCCACAAGCCCTACCGCTGCCCCGAGTGCGGGAAGGGCTTCAGCTGGAACTCGGTGCTCATCATCCACCAGCGGACCCACACGGGCGAGAGGCCCTACCGGTGCCCCGAGTGCGGCAAGGGCTTCAGCAACAGCTCCAACTTCATCACGCACCGCAGAACTCACGTGCGGGACAAGCCGCGCTGAGGCAGGGGCCGCGAGGTCCGGACGTGATCGTTTTCTGGTTACAGCTTGTGATTGGCTTGGCCATCCTCCTCCTTACTGCGCCATGCCTCAGTGGCAAAATGGGGGGAAGCCTGTTACCTCAACTGAGCTGTCAGGAAAGCGAGATAGATGTCTTGGGGCTCTGCTGCCCCTTTGTGAGGCGAAGCTGCCCGCACCCAGGGCCGCCTGCCTGGGGCAGGGCCCGCTTCTTCCTTGGGCTTTGATTGGCTTCAGCTCAGACCCGGTGGGCCTCCAGCCTGTCATCCGCAGAAAGGCAAAGCTCTTGTCCCTTTCCACGGGAGTCAGGTACAGAGCACCGGAAGTGATCCAGGTGCAAACTGCGATTTATGCGCTTCATTTGTGTCTCGTTCTGTAGGGAGCTCACCACCGGGAGCACACTTGTGCTGCTTTGTGTTCGGAGTGTGGGGTCTGCACCCCAAGTGCCTAAACATGGTGCGGGGTGGTTTGTCTCATCCAGGGTGAGCCAGCCTGCATGCTGAGCTCTTGTGTTCTCCTTGTTATATTTTCTAAATGCAGCACTGCAATCCTGTCCAGTAGCTTTTGTACCCTAAGAACATTGTTTTTTTAAGAAAATGTCAGTTTTGAGAACATTAAAATCTCTGGAGAACTTTGGGCTTGAACCAGGAGTTGGTCCTGAGATTCACAGTGGATCTGGTTCTTGGGATGCTGAGCCTTGGCTCAGCGAAGACAGGCAGCAGGTGAAGGCGTGGGGTGAGGAGCAGGAGAGGAGCCCAGCTGTTTCTGGGAAATGTGAAGCTGCCTCCTCCTACACACGAAGTCTACATAGTACAGGACTTGTTCTTAGGATAGATGCTGAATACTGCTTACTAGAGTCCCATTCTTTTCCTGAGCTTGTCTACTATGTAGCCCAGTCTGGCCTTGAACTTGTGACCATCTTGCTTCAGCTTCCTGAGGGCTGGGATTACAGATGTATGCCACTATGACTCACTAGCTTTGAATCAGCCTTCTAAATGTGTTAAAACCCCCACCTACAGCAGGTGCCAGTCGCTCATGCCTGTCATCTTAGCTACTCAGGAGGCTGAGATCTGAGGATCACGGCTCAAAGCCAGCCCAGGCAGGAAAGCCCAGGAGAAACTTTTTTTGGGTCAGTGTGGGGCCTGAACTCGGCCTGGACGCTGTCCCTCAGCTCTTCAGTTCAATGCTAGCGCTCTACCATTTGAGCCACAGAGCCACTTCCAGCCTTTTCTGCTTATGTGGTGCTGAGGGATCGAACCCAGAGCCTCATGCATGCAAGGCAAGCACTCTACCACTAAGCCACCTTCCCAGCCCCCCATGAGACTCTTATCTACAATTAACCACCAGAAAACCAGAAGTGGTACGGTGGCTCAAGTAGTAGAGCACTTGAGCTGAAGAGCTGAGGGACAGCGCCCAGGCCCAGAGTTCAAGGCCCACAACCAAAATAAAATAAAATGTGGTTATACAAAGTAGTTTCAATTGGACATACCAGTTTGTGAGTCTAATGCATATGCCTGTTTTTTAGTTACAGGCTACACAAACATGGATACATAGTTACAGATTAGGGCCTCTTATTGTCCTAGTATTTTGTGTGTGTGTGTGTGTGTAGACAACCAAACTAAGGCTTGAACTCAGGGCTCCTCACCCGGTGGGAGACCAGGTGCAGGCAGGGGTTGCCCCACATTCTGACCGCTAGGGCTCTGTAGACCAAGGGTCTGGGAGATGAGAAGACAGCTGCCCCATTCCCAAGCACTTAATTTGTGCTGGATACTCAGAATCGCCTACAACTCTCCAGAAATCTACTAACCTAAAACAGCAGTCTGCACATAATTATCCCTAATTAGGTTTGTAAAGTGTGATTAATAAGGCCTCTTAAAAAAAAACCTTTTTCCCCCTTTGACGTGAAAGTTATTTTGCCTTTTGCCTAGAAGCAAAACTCATGAAAATCAAACTACTGAAAACTACAAATTACATTAATGGACACTTAAATGAAACGGCGTAGGGTGCACCCGCCCCCAGCACCTTTTCATTTTGTAAATATTGGATCATTCATATTTTCTACTTAAACTTTTCATTCATTTCCACATTAGCACATAAATGTACAATTTTCACACTACTCTCATAATCCTGTTTTGTTGTTCTCTATGGTAACTTCCTGCAGTTGCTGTTCACTCAGACCTCTCCATTCCATTCCCTCAGTAATCTACCTCGTCCTGGCCTAGGCCACGACTGATAGGGCTGACTGATGTTTTTCAGCAAAGCAGCTTTTAAGTTTGCGCATCAACTCTACTTTCTAAATTACTTGCTCTGCTTTTTCCTGGTGACTACCACAGCTTAGCTGGTGGGATGCTTGCAGTCACCTCTCTGGGGAAAACCCAGAGCTCTGCATCGTAGCACAAGCCACTTTCTGAGAGGCGAGTCCTCCCACGCAGCCGCAGCCACCGGCCTGCCATCCACACAGCGCGTGAAGAGTTCTGTATCAGGGGCCCTCATCAGAGGAGGCTTTTTTTTTT